AATAGACAATCCTAGTATTTTCGATTGTAAAGGTTCCGACAAGTGATTGATTCTATCTAGGATTGAAGTGCTTGGATTGAGTTTCCTCCAAGACTTGGTATGTCCTCATGGATTCGAGGACAAGAACTTTTATGTTTCCTTTTGTTCATGTAATAGACAATCCTAGTATTTTCGATTGTAAAGGTTCCGACAAGTGATTGATTCTATCTAGGATTGAAGTGCTTGGATTGAGTTTCCTCCAAGACTTGGTATGTCCTCATGGATTCGAGGACAAGAACTTTTATGTTTCCTTTTGTTCATGTAATAGACAATCCTAGTATTTTCGATTGTAAAGGTTCCGACAAGTGATTGATTCTATCTAGGATTGAAGTGCTTGGATTGAGTTTCCTCCAAGACTTGGTATGTCCTCATGGATTCGAGGACAAGAACTTTTATGTTTCCTTTTGTTCATGTAATAGACAATCCTAGTATTTTCGATTGTAAAGGTTCCGACAAGTGATTGATTCTATCTAGGATTGAAGTGCTTGGATTGAGTTTCCTCCAAGACTTGGTATGTCCTCATGGATTCGAGAACACGAACTTTTATGTTTTCTTTTGTTCATGTAATAGACAATCCTAGTATTTTCGATTGTAAAGGGTCGTGTCCCTACTTTAGTTTCAAGTACTTTGTAACTATGGCCATGTGAGACTTAGACTTCCGTTGTGTCTTTTGAATGATTGTTAAATGAGCATTTTGATAGTTTGGTTTTAAAAAGTTTTAATTCCATACTATTTCTATTACCTATGCAATGAATGAGATATGGGGCTTGTATAAGACCCCTTCGGTGTCGAGTACGCCGTGTCGCATCCGGGGTCTAGACTTGGGTCGTGACAAATAAAGATCTGCAAAACATATGTTTTTGAATGAATTTTCCTTGGCAAATAGTGTTGCCTTTAAAATTCTCTAGTTTGTAGAATGAGATATGCATATTTTCGTTTGATAAAATAGTATGTCAAAATGTTATAATTGGAAGGCTATTTGAAAAGAAAAGTATATCTATGTGATAATCTAAGAATATGTTTTATTCTGTTTGGAGGAGAAAAAAAACTTTTATAGTTTTGTACTTCGTGTGAAATTTGATTGTGTCTGATTCTTGTAGACAATAAACTTTGGTAGTTTTGTACCCTAGATAAATTGGACTATGGAATTGGTTTGAAGAATATGAAAACTTCACCTAATAAGTCAGTGTTGTACTTTTGGTTTTCTACAAACTTCATTGTTAAATAGAAAAAATTGTACAAAAGTTTTTGTCTTTATTATTAGTATTCTAAATACTAAGTGGTATGTCTAATTTTGATAAAAGAAAGACCAGTGACTTAAAGTGTGTGATTTTGTGCCTGCAATAAGTGCCTCAATGGAATGAACTTTGCCGCTATGTAAAGAATGTCAAAGAGAACTGAAGTACTATAATTCTTTGGTAGAATAATATTTTCAAAAGATGTTTCATATTGCCAATGACATTTTGATAGTCTGGAAAATATGTGGAAAAATTATTTTCAACTACTTGAAAAATATTTTTGAAATCATATTTAAAATGTGGGGGTTTCTTGTCTTATGACAAAGATAAAATTAGACTTAGTGTCTAATTTAAATTTGGAGCACAAGATAAGAAAATTGATGATACTTCTATATTATGTTAGACCCACAAAATTCTTGGAGTATATTTGATATTGTGGTCCTTGAGTTTCTCTTTTACTAGTATATGGTATGACTAGTATGAAACTACCAAATTATATGTATACTTGTTCAAAATGATTGTGTTCTTTTATGAAAAAGTGTCACTTAAACTGTTGTGATTTTTGATGAAAAGATATGTCTATTAAATAGAACTATTTGTATAGACATGAATATTGGTGAATAGTCATTTGTCATATTTTGTAAAAGAAGCATTTGGATTATATTGCCTTTATTGGACCCGATTAAACTTTAGTCATGGGTATAGTTCTATAACAATCAAATTGAAAGTTATGGAAAGGTCCTTCTGTAAAGGACATTTGGCAAGGTGATGACTCTAAACAATGTTTTTATTGCACAAAATTGTAAGAAATAGGAACAAATATTTGTGAGAAAAAGCTACCTCGCGGAGAGCTTTTCAAACTCAATATTTTTATTTGTTCTTACTTGCTTGAGTCAAACTGTTTGTGACATGAACACTTGGGACATGTCAATTAAAAAAAACCTTGTAATGAAAACTGATCAACTTAGAAGTTTTATCTAACTTTGAGTGCAATAAATAAAAAATGTCAAGTTTGTGTGAAATCTAAGTATGCTAAGCATTCTTATAAATCTGTTGAAAGGAAGTGTAATCCCTTAGAGTTGATTTACACTGTCATTTGTGATATGAAGTCAACACCATCTCTTGGTGGAAAAAAGTATCTCATAACTTTTATTGACAATTGCATTTGATACGGTTATATATATTTGCTGAATCGTAAGGATGAAGCAATAGAAACTTTTAGACAATATAATACTGAAGTTGAAAATCAATTGGGAAAAATATAAGAAGTGATAGGGATGGAGAGTATAAATCTCCTTTTGCAGAAATATGTTTGGAAAGTGGTATTATCCATCAAACTACTATCCTATTAACCTTAATCAAATGGAATTGCGGAGAGAAAAAAACCAAACTTTGAAAGAAATGATGGATGCATTACTTATTAGTTCAGGTTTACCATAAAACTTGTGTGGAGAAACTATCGTTACTACAAAAGGGAGCAACAAAAAGTTGTCTTTTTCAGAAAGAAAACAATTGTTTGTTCAAGACACAATCTATTCCATATGAGAAAATGGAAAGAAATGAAATCCAACTTGAAATATTTCAAAATGTGGGGTGTCTAGCCAAAGTCCAAGTTCCTATTCCTAAAAGGATTAAAATAGGACCTATGACTGTGGACTGTAACATTAGACTTGAGTAGTCTAGTGAAGGGTCTAAAAGACCTTGGAAAGAAAAAAGGAGAATGTACTTAATAAAGAGATTCAGAGGCGTAGTAAATGTCAAAGGACATCTACTTCCTTCGGATCTAATCTTGTAACATTTCCTATGTCTTCTATGGACTCATCTTTTTGGAAAGATGGTGTCAATAGTGAGATTGATTCAATCTTGAGCAACCATATTAAAAGTTGATTGATTTTCCTCTAGGAAATAAATCTTTGGGTTTAAACTGAATCTTCAGAAGGAAAATAAAATTCGATGAAATGTTGGCAAATACAAAGCAAGACTTTTTGTCAAAGGTTATAGACAAAAAAAAGGTCTTGATTTTTTCAACACATACTCGCTAGTAACTAGAATTACATTCATTCAGATGTTAATTGCATTAATTGCGGTATATGACCTCCAAATTTATCAAATGAATGTGAAAATAATTTTCTTAAATGGAGAATTGGAGGAATACATGGAACAACCCGAGGATTTTGTGTCCTGTAAAGAAAAAAAAGTGTGAGAACATGTTAAGTCATATTATGTACTAAAACAAGCACCCAAACAATGACATAAGAAATTTGACCTAACCATGTTGGCAAATGGATTAAAGAATGATGGAAGTGATAAATGTGTTTTCATTAAAAACACAAGGTCATTGTTTGTTCGTATATTGATGACATGTTGATCATTAGTAGAGACACTCATGACATAAATGCTACTAAATGTATGCTAGAAAGCAAGTTTGATATGAAAGATCTTGGAGTTGCTGATGCGATCTTAGGTATAAGAATCCTTAGAACTCCATAATGTTTAGCATTGTCATGGTCTCATTGCATTGAAAAGGTACTTGACTAGTTCAAATAATTGGATTTTAATATTGTCACGACTACAATAAATGTAAGCTTTGCATTTCAAAAGAGTGAAGGTGAAAGTGACTCACAATTGGATTGTGCTAGAGTATTGGGAAGTATGATGTATATCACGAAGTGTACGCGATCAGATATACCATGTGATATGAATAAATTGAGTCGGTTCACGAGTAATCCCAATCGAACTCATTGGATGACAATGAAAAGAGTTTTGGGGTATTTAAAACATACTCAACTATGTCTTGCATTATAAAAATATCCAGCAATATTGAAATGATATCGTGATGCAAATTGGATCACCGAGATCAAATGAAGTAAAATCCTTGGATTAAAGTGGATTTAAAGATGATCTTAGGCATATTTTATGCCAAAGTTGTCAATAATTGCCCCTAAGTCAATTAGATTGAAGAATAATCTCTAGTCATTAGCTTAATTTTTGGTGCAACTTGTGAGGATTGTACACTTACACACATGATTAGTTGTTTCAGGAACTCTCAAGAGAAATGGAGTGAACTTGAAGAAAAGAGATGAAAAAGAGCATGAAAAGAGGCCAAGGATGAAGACCCTACGGCCAGGCGCACTTCTAGGTGCGAGGCACCAAGGGCCAACATTCAGAGACGCCTCTCAGGCGCAACGCGTCTAGGCCAAAAATTCAGAGACGCCTCTCAGGCGCACTGAGAGGCGCGGCGCGCCAAGGAGAAATCTTCAGAGGCAAAGATCAAGCGCGATACTAGGCGCGGCGCCCCACCTTGCTCCCGACTTTTCCAGCAAAAATACACTTAAATAGTACTCCTTATTGTTTTAGGATTGGGTCTTAGTTGTTCTAACTATTATAAATAGACCTCTAGGGTTCATGAGTAAGGGTTCGACTTCTGATTTAGTGTGCAAAAGCAAGAATTCAAGTTTGTGATAGGTTTTAATCCTATAACTCTTCTAATTTCTGAAAATTATATGAACTATTGTATCTTCTTGTTTTCTAATAGCATGAGTGGCTAAAACGCCCTAGTTCTGGGGCTGTAGCTACGAATGGAAGAACCATCCTAACTTCTCATGGAGTGGTAACCAAAAGCAAAATCAAGCGCAAGGGGTTAACCAATACCGTTCTCAAGGAGCTGGGCAACAATACCACAATCCTAACCAAAGCTCAAATTCTAGTGCAGAAAAAGGGGGGATGACCAATGAAGAGCTACTAAAAAATCTCATGACCGAAATAGGGACCAAATTAAATGCTAGAGTAGATAAGCCGGATGAGAACATTAGAAACATCCAGATGTCCCAAATGAGTTTAAAGAAACAAGTTGCGCAAGTGGCTAATTCTTTGAACTTGCGTCCCCAAGGCGGGCTGCCCGGTGATACTGAGCCCAATCCAAAGCAATTGCATGCGGTAAGTACTAGAAGTGGGCTGCAATTAGAGGAACTAGCTCCAAAGAAGAGAGAATTTGAGATAAGTACCAAACAAAAGAAGGTGGAAGAGGTAGTAAAAAGCTCCAATGCTGAGGTATCCGTTTCTCAAAAGAAATTGCCACCTCCATTTCAACAAAGGCTCAAAAAGCAGAATGAGGATGAATGCTTCGGTAAGTTTCTCTCTCCTTAAACAGGTTCACATTAATCTACCTTTGGTTGACATTTTGCAGGGTATACCGAAGTATGCTAAATACGTGAAAGACATTGTAGCTAGCAAGAGGAGGCTCACGGAATATGAAATTGTGGCACTTACTGAAGAGTGCAGCTCAAGGATTCAAAACAGACTACCCAAAAAGTTAAAAGATCCGGGTAGTTTTACTGTGCAGATTACAACTGGGCAAAGCGTTCATGCCCGGGGGTTGTGTGATTTGGGAGCAAGTATAAACTTGATGCCTTTATATTTGTATCTAAAACTTGGGTTGGGTAGTCCAAAATGAACCACTGTTATTCTTCAATTTGCAGACAGATCCATTGCTAGGCCAGAGGGGGTGGTAGAAGATGTGTTAGTGCAAGTAGGTTCATTGATTTTTCCGGTAGATTTTGTGGTCTTAGACTTTGAACCTGATTCTGAAGTTCCATTCATTTTGGGACGTCCTTTCTTGGCCACGTGGAGGGCATTGATTGATGTAGCAGCTGGTCAATTAACCATGCGGGCGCATGATAAAGTAGAAGTATTTGATGTGTACCGCGCTCTAAAATTGCCTTCTATTTATGAAGAGTTGTCTGCTATTACTGTGGTTGATCACATAGTTGAGTCACAATTAGTTGTTCCCGAAGACTCCTTAGAAAGAGTGTGAATAGGTCATAAGAGAGATGAAGATACTGAGGCTAAAGAGATTGAAACATGTCTAAATCTGGCATTTATCAAGTATTTTTCCAAGATTGCAAGACCTATGTGCAGTCTCTTGGAGAAGGAGGTGAAGTTTGACTTCGATGAGATGTGCTTAAAAGCTTTTGAGATGTTGAAGAGGAACTTAATTGAAGCTCCCATCTTAATTGCTCCAGATTAGGAATTACCATTTGAACTCATGTGTGATGCAAGCGACGTAGCAGTGGGTGCAGTGTTGGGACAAAGAAAGAATAAAGTGTTCCACTCGATCTATTATGCAAGCAAGACCCTTGACTCTACACAAGCTAATTACACAGTGACTGAGAAAGAGATGTTGGCTCTAGTGTTCGCCTTCGACAAGTTCAGATCGTATTTGGTAGGTATTAAAGTGATTGTTTTTACTGACCATGCAACTATTAGATACCTATTCAACAAGAAGGATGATAAACCAAGGCTAATCCGATGGATATTGCTTCTCCAAGAATTTGACCTAGAGATCAAAGATAGGAAGGGTACTGAGAATCAAATAGCAGATCACTTATCTAGGGTGGAGGATTTTTCACATGTGAATAAAGGTGAGCAAATCCGGGAAGAGTTTCCGGATGAACAATTAATGGCACTAGAAATCTCTCAAGTACCATGGTATGCAGACATTGCGAATTTGATAGTAAGTGGTGATTATCCTCCGGGTGCTACCACCCAACAAAAGAAAAAGCTCAATCATGATGCCAAGTTCTACATTTGGGATGAACCATTCTTGTTCAAGCAAGACGTGGATCGGGTGGTGAGAAGGTGCATTTCGGAATCTGAGGTTCACAAGGTGCTTGAGAGCTGTCATGCCAGCCCATATGGAGGTCATCATGGAGGAGAGCGCACTGCTTATAAGGAACTACAATCTGGTTTCTTTTGGCCCTCATTATTTAAAGATTCTATGGCGTTTGTGAAGGGTTGTGATAAATGCCAAAGGTTGGGTACTATTTCAAGAAGACATGAGATGCCGCTCAGAAACATTCTGGAGGTGGAAATCTTTGATGTGTGGGGTATTGACTTCATGGGTCCCTTCCCACCATCTAGTGGAAACCAATATATTCTTGTAGCTGTGGGTTATGTTAGTAAATGGGTGGAGGCTGTAGCTCTTCCTTCCAATGATTCAAAGGTGGTGTTAAAGTTCATCAAGAAGCACATCTTCACTCGCTTTGGCACTCCAAGGGCAATTATAAGTGATGGAGGTAAGCATTTCATTAATCATTTTGTTAAGAATCTTCTTGCTAAGTATGGTATTCGTCATAAGGTTGCTACAGCGTACCATCCTCAAACAAGTGGTCAAGTGGAGGTTTCGAATAGAGAGGTGAAGCAAATTTTGCATAAAATTGTGAATGCGCAAAGGAAGGATTAGTCTGATAAACTAGATGATGCATTATGGGCATATATGACTGCGTACAAGACACCAATAGGGACTTCTCCTTATCGCATAGTATTTGGGAAAGCATGTCACCTTCCGGTGGAATTGGAGCATCGAGCATATTGGGCAATTAAGAAGCTGAACTTAGACCCCGAGCTAGCCGGTAAAAAAAGAGTGAATCAACTGCATGAACTTGAGGAGTTTAGGCTCCATGCTTATGAGAATGCCAAGCTATACAAAGAAAAGACGAAGAAGTGGCATGACAAGCACATAGTAGCTCGTACGTTCAAGCCAGAAGATAATGTACTACTCTTCAACTCTAGACTAAGGTTATTCCCTGGAAAACTAAGGTCGAAGTGGAGTGGTCCATTCAAAGTGGTTAGAATGACTCAACATGGGGCCGTTGAACTTCAAAGTGAGACTGGCCCTACGTTCTTGGTCAATGGGCAAAGAGTGAAGCACTATTTCGGTGAGGATTCGGATCGTGATCGGGAAGCTCTTGAGCTAAATGATGAATGATCCAAGCTGCGTCATGCCGCGACGTTAAATCAAGCGCTACATGGGAGGCAACCCATGAACAAAATGTAAGAGATAGATAGTATGTCTTTAAATTCTTCATTTTTGGTGTTTTAGCATAGTTTCAATTCTTAGAATATAGGCTAGTTATAGTTAGATAAGATTATTTTCTTTCATTATTTGTACTGAGTATAATAAAAAAAAACTGTAACCAGGTGCACTGTCAGGCGCGCCGTGCCTGGAATATAAATTCAGAGACGGTTTTCAGGCGCGACTCCCCAATATCGCGCCTAGGACTAGCAGGACAGCGCATTGAGCGGCACGTTGCGCCAGAAGGGAAAGTTCAGAGCGACTTTTCAAGCGCGATACTGGCGCATCGCGCCCCTATCGCGTCTCTGCCCAGATTTTTTTAATCCGGATTTTTCCCCGGATAAAATTCGACCCACTACCCTAAAACCCCTACAAACTCCCCATTCTCATACAAACTGCCCAAACCCCCTTACCTCACTCCAACTCTTCTTCTTCCTCTCACCTTTCATCTTCTCCTTCCACCATTTTTACTCCCATCCTAACTTTTCTTCTTCCCCACCTCCAACAATAAATCCTCCACTTCCCTTCTTCTCTTTCACTTCTAAATCATCTTCCCCCTACCATATTTTTGTTTCTCCTCTTCTCAATAACCAATCCGACCCCCCCCCCCCAAATTTTTCTAATCTTTCCCTTTTTTTTCTTTTTTTTTTACAGGTTTCAATGGCACCTAAGGCGGAAAATGTGGCGGGTCTAAGCGGAGTAGAAACGGTGAAGCATCCGAGTCCGGAAATAGGGAACCAGTCCAAAAATTCGGTAAAAAAATGGTTGAGCGATATGGGTTGACTTAGTTTGACTGCCAGCGGGAAGCAAAATATATGGGGGACGAATACGTCGATTCGGTAAGGTTACAGTATCAATTTCCTGATATATATAGGACTGTGGTTGAGTTAGGGCTGAGGTTTATTTTTGACCATCCGGGCGACTGTAATTTGTCGTTAGTTCGTGAGTTTTATGCAAATTGGCTCACAGAAACTAAGTACAAAACTGTACCTATAAGAGGCAGAGATGTGAAGTTTTCGGCTAGGATATTGAATGAGTTGTTGGGTACCCCTGACTGTGATGCCGATGACTTTAATAGGTTGAAAGAGAAACCCCCTTATAGAGACATTCGACACACATTGTGTGGGGTAGAGTCGACAGTTAGGTGGGGGCGCAGTAAGGATACTGGGAGGCATTCCACACTTCACTTTGCTAATTTCAATCTTATTGCTAGGGTGTGGCTGAAAATAGTGTCCAATGTCTTGCTTCCTGCGAAACATTTAACTGAGCTGACTCAGGATAGAGTGGTATTGGTCTATATGCTAATGAAGGGAATGCCTATTAATGTTGGGGCAATCCTGAGGCAAAATATGATGAAGTTTAGGAACAATTTGCGTTGGCGATTTTGTTATGGGGGGTTGATAACCCGTTTCTTCAGGACTCAAGGTATAGAGGAGGAGGCTTGTGACATGATGATTGCTTTTCACCCGGATCTGACGGGGAAAGTGGTTGATGTGACCCACACTAAGGCGTTGGATGCGTCCCATGGTCATGTCTTGTCTGGCCAAGAGAGGCAAGTCCGCGATGATAGTATAATGGAAAGGATGTTCGGGATGGTTGAATTACAGCTGCGAATAGGTGGCCGTCCAGTTACAAATGCTCAGATGGTAACCATGGCGGAGCGCTACCCCTTGATTGAGAGTGCGGCTTTCTTATGCCGGACTGGTCCCGCATTCTTAGAGCCTTTAGATGATGATGAGGTTAGTGTTGATGAGGCCATGGGTGATGAAGATGAAGATGCTGCGGACAAGGAGGCAAATGCCTTGATGGTGTTCGCTGATGGTGACGACGAGGCCTAGCGTCCCGAGGGAGTATTCCTAACTCTATACTGTGCTTTAATTGTGCACTGAGGAGAGTGCTTATTTTTAATGTGTGGGGTGGGGATAATATATCTCTGTTGTATATAGCTGTTTATTGCTTTATCGAGTCTAGTGTTAGTTTTTAGTTAAATTAGTTAAATTTTTAAATTTTTGGGTTCCTCAGCGTTTGTTTTCGGTACTTTTACTGAAGATTGTCTCTTTGAACCAACTAGGGCTAGTGATTGCTTTATTGAGTCTTAGAGTCGTCATAGGAGTGACAGTTCCCAATAATGGATGGATGACGACCGTCTTAAGGGGAAATTAGTCACATAGAAGAGTAGGATTGAGAAACCAACCTTGGCCTTTTGAAACTATGTCCGAACAAGTCAGCCAAACGTCATGGGTAGTCACAGGTGGAAAAATGCAATAGATTATTGACCTTGTAACAAGCATGTGTTTTTAGTTTCGACTCAAAACAAAAATAAATGGGCTTAATTGTGTAATGAGACCGTAATGCAAGTTGTAGGAGCATGTTAGTTGATATATCCTTATATGTGTCATAATGCCATTTGCGGTGAGAATTGATTAGTTCTTTCTTAACTTGATATCTAGAACTTGCCTTGTGTGTTGAATTAGTAGCTTGTATGACTTAAGGAATGTGATTGAGGCACTTCTTTGAAATAGCTAATTCTTAACTCAAATTTTATGCCTACCATGGAAATCATCCATAGTGAAGTCCCATTGAGCCTTTAGCCTTGTTTATTGATAAACCACATGATAAGCCGAAACCCTTTGTTTGATACCAAGTCTTTTGATCCTATGAAAAATCCGTAATGCACTATGTTAAGAAGAAGGGTTAGAAAATGTTGGTTAATATAGCTAAGGGTGAATTGCTACACTGTGAAAAAAGGAAATTCTATTTTAGCCATGGTCCTTAGCGACAATGTGCACCTCGACTAAAATTGAAGGTGGCTAATTTAGAATTATGCTCGAAATATTGGCCTTGATCCTATCAAGAATAATGTGTTCAGAGTTTGGGTGGCTAGTGCAAAAGCATGAAAAAAAAGAATGATGAGAAAGAAATAAAGGGCAAATATGGAGCAACAAAAAGGGTAAATAGTT